TTGTTCCCGCGGTAGCCTAAAGAAAATGTCAGGCCGTCGATGTGTCGTACAAGGATGCAACAATACTCCCAATCTTGAAGAGGGTATTTCAGTGCACATTAGTCCTAAAAACAAGACGGTATGCGACGAATGGGCAAGATTCGTGAGAATGCATCGAGCAAATTTCACTCCTCAAGGACAATTCATGGTTTGCTTTGAACATTTTGGAGAAGAGTGCTTCGAAAGGAGCCTTCACGTCAAAGCTTCTCAACGGACACTTTGTCCAGGCTCTATTCCAACTATTTGGATGAAACAAAACTCCCAAGAGCCGTGTTCCTTGAGATCTGTGTGAACCCGTAAGAAGGTAAGCACTTGCTTCTTGTTGTTTTGATGTTTTATATATATCCAGCACTCTCCAGCTAGTTGTATTTCTGATTTTCAAAATGCAATCTTGTCCCTTATTTTGCAACTTGAGTGAACTCTGAATTTAAAAATATAAAAGATGAATGAACATTAGAAAAGGACAATGATCAATAACCGGGAACTTTGCCATAACTTTTACCGTGATAAAAATCGCTCTGTACCCTTCACCATTTCACATCATATCGTGTTATCTTTGAAAACTTACCAACATTTTTCTTTCGTGTAGGTTATCAATGACCTACTTTGCTCTCCTGGAGATGAGACATCGTCTTCTGATCGACAAGAAATAGAAGTAGATCAGTCGAGCTATGCTTCTGGTAGTACGATAGATGAAGAGGATTGCAGTCTCCAAGTAAGGCTCTAGATCTAGTGTGATCATTTATGGGAATACCGGTTTTTTTTTTGTAAACAAGGTCATGCAAACATTTTTTGAACTATATTTGTCTCTAGAATTACACGCTCAGTTCCACTCTTCCACTATCTGTTCCCACATCATCCTTATCTGCTTACAATGAAGACATTGTAAGTTTCCCTGTTGTTTAGAGATGAGACTGGTATTGTTCAATACTGTTTGAATATATTTTGTGAACAAATTTCTTTGCTTGCAGAATGATTCAAGTGCCCAGGTAGCTGCTTCTGGTACTTTACCAACTGTCTTGCCAATGATGACAAGTACTCCAAACAGGGTATTTATAAATGTATATGGCTGTTATCAGACAAGTTTTTTAATTAACACAAGTTATTCCTATTATGTTGCTTTGGAAAACATTCCTACCTCCCTGAAGGGTAGATTCCCTACCCACTGGTAAAATGAGCTCAGCTTCATGCTTTCTCAAAAAACAATATATTTTTGATGCTAGATATTTGGAAAGTTAACTTGAAACAACACATCTTTGTTTCCAGAATGTTACCAGTGGCCAGATACCTACCTCAAGTTTCACAGATGAGAACTATCTGGGGGAACTGGTGGTGACTGACACTTCCAGTGAGGTATAATTTAATATAGATCTTGGAAGAGAGGGTCATGTCATTCATTTTAGTATTACATCTCTCCCATTTGTTATTTTCATACTTTTCAGGTACCTGATGTAGAAGATATCACTTCAGAGACAACAAATTATTCTGGTATAAAAGTGTTTTGATGGTGCGTGACCTATTGACATGTTTAACTTAATTGGCTTGGAGGCGTTCAGAGTGGATATATATTTTGAAAGCATCAGATTTCCAGTGGCCAAGAGTGCGGATTTGCGCATCTGAGAAACCCTTATAAGCCACGAGTGAAGCAGCACCAGTTCAAAAGCTGTTGCCTTTGTGTCGACTGGTGTCAAGGCCACAAAATTGTAAACACC